CCAACGTAGAGGAAGCTTTCAAGAACATCTCACAGGTTATCCCAGGGTCTGGTGGGGGCCACAGGAACCCCCAGCAGGCCCACCAAAGGTGGTGTGGGAAGGGCACCAGCCACACTGGTTGCAAGCTTCAGAATGCAGCCCCTGACCCTTCATTCCTTAAACCTGCTGGTTAGTCTGAACAGGAGGACAGACATGGCAAGCTCTGTGAAGTCAGGCTAGATCCCACCTCTACTGGCACTTGGCACCCAGCTCCATGGGTGAACCCATGGCTCCATCAGGGAACAGCCAGAGGGGACTGCAGATGGCCTCAGGCCCAGAGCTCCTGGTTTTCTGGAAGTTTATTCTGAGGAGAAGAGGGTCTCTGATCTTTACGAAGAGGAGTCCTGGGCTGGGGAGGGTATCTCTGTGACCAGATGTAGGTTCTACCCTTGCTGAGTGCACAGGGGAGAACCCTTATGTCAGAGGTGCAGGTAGGCCACAGTGGGGGCCTTTGGGAGGGGCACAACCTTGGGGGTACTCCCTGGAAGAGGTGACATCCAGATGAGCCCTGCAGGGGGCCAGTCACCACAGGCAAGAGTATGCAGGGCACTCACCTCACATCCCCCCATTGCAGAGATCTACCGCATCGTGTCACAGAAGCAAATTGCAGACCGCGCAGCCCATGATGAGTCCCCTGGTAACAACGTGGTGGACATCAGCGTGCCACCCACTACTGATGGACAGAAACCGAACAAGCTGCAATGCTGCCAGAACCTGTGACTGCCCCGTGCCTCGTCCAAATATGCGTGCGTGCACATCCTCATCCTTCGCCTGCCCCTCATCATGATGTCTTCTCTGACCTGACCCTCTCTGTCCCTCTGTGACTGGCTCCTACCCCTCCACTGAGCTCTGCAGACAACTGGGGCTTAGGAAGAACAGGAGTCCAGCTGCACCATCTGTCCTCCCCCACCCCAGGGAAGCTTGAAACCTGGCTGCTGTACCTATTCTTCTTGGGTCCCAGTGGGCCTCGGGGTGGTGTGGGGAGGGTGGCAGGATGGACCAGGCCAGCCAGAGGCAAGAGGATGGGCACACCAAACAGGCTTCAATTTTCCACAGCAGACTCCAGGGAGCAATTACCTCCCTTCCTCTCTGGCTAGTTGTCCCAGCTGGCCCTGGTCCCCACCCAGAACCCCCCTCTGGGCTGAAGCCTGAAGAACAAGTGACCGGGGGACTGGGTCAGGCAGACAGAGGCTCCAGCATCCTACCACCCACATACAGTCAGCACCGCCTTTGACCTCAGCCTCTCCTGTGCGTGCGTGAATCCAGCTCCTGCCTGTAGATTTATGCTGGGAGACCTCCCCCCCTTTCTGCACGCAGCGCACTCCCCACCCCTCCCTGTGCCCTTCTCTCTGTCTTGTCTCCCTGTCTGGTCAGGAACTGTTTGCAAGTGAAGCAATATCTCAGTGTTTTGTATATACAACCGCTCTTGTAGCCTTTGTTTTTTTGTTATTGTAGAGAAACAGATTCTTTATACACTTTGTAAGATTGACGCCAAACCCCAGCTCTCAGATCTCTTATTCTCCCTGTGGCCCCTGTTGCCCCAATGCCTCATTTCTCTGTCCCGTTACTAAAATGTGTAACCCGACTTCCTGGACAGAAACCTGCCGCTGCACTTTTGTCTTCTTTCTCTCCTCCAGGTGGCCACCCCTGAGCCAGGCCCCTTGCTGCACACATCCTCTACTGGGCTGCACCACCAGGCTCAGCCTCACAGGGAGCTAGAACACCAGGCCTGAACCCCTGCTCAGGATCATGCAGAGGCCTCCTGAGCTGACTATGGAGGCCCTGGGGGGGTAAGGGTGGGAGGGAAGGCTGGGGGTTGGGGGGTGACTTTAATCTCCTTGCTGCAAGGACCACCAGCTCTAGGATTTGAGGGTGGTCCTCCAGGAGGAGGTGGGCTGTGCCCACTGCTTTCAGCTCCCAGCTCTGGGAGTTGGACTGCTCATTGCTTCCATCTATTCCCCACCTGGCCACCACTTGGGGTCCCAGCAAGGACTAGTAAGAGGGGCTGGCCCACATGTTGGCAGTACCAGTCCCATCCCAGACTGACCTCTGAGGAAGGCTGAATGGGATGCTTGTCCACACGGGCAGTACTGGCCTGAGGGCAGGTTCCCAAAGTGGAGGGAGCGGGGGGAGGGGGGGGGGAGTGCCCAGCCCTGTCCCTGCACTGATCACATGACCCAATGGGTGTTCTCTCTCACCTGAGTGCTGGTAGCTGTTCTAGAAGCTCCAGACTCTGGCTGAACCTCTTGTGCTCTTGACCCCTAGGAGAGCCACCAGAGGGGGATTCCAGGCTCTGGCTGCCCTGCCCAGACATCCCTCCAAAACAGCTCTTGAGTCATAGGGGCTCTTCTCACAGGAGTTGGGTGAGCCAGAGCCCATGCTCCAGGCTGAGGAGCACCCTGGGCTGGGGATCTGGTGGGGTGCACAATCCAGGGCCCATTTACATGGATCTCAGGTCCCCTGGGTTTGGGTAGGGTGTGCTATGGAGAGGCAGAGGGTGAATGGGAGCTTCAGGAGGGCCAGTGAAGCACTCAAACACCCGAAAGGTTTCAAGAGTCAAAGATCAAATCTTTGTGGAGCCTCAGGTTGACCAGGCCCTGGGCACATGCCAGTATTAGACTGATGTGACTCTGTCCCCTTGGAGGGTGATAGTCCAGTGATACTATTGCAGTTACTCTAATTTCAGTAATTTAATAAGCACAGCATGCTGGCTTTGTACTAGGCACTGTTCTTCAGAGTTTTTTGTTTTGTTTTTATGGTAAAATAAACATTACAAAAAAATTTTTTAATTGATTTTTAGAGAGAAGAAGGGAGAGAGAGCGATTTGTTTTCCACTTATTTATGCATTTATTGGTTGATTTTTGTATGTGCCCTGACGGGATCAAACCCATAACCTTGGCTTATTGGGACAATGCTCTAACCAACTGAGCTACCTGGCCAAGGCCATCTCAACCATTTTTAACCGTACAATTTAGTGGCATTAATGTGGTACACTCACATTTGTTGTACCACCATCAATCTCCAGATCTTTCTCATCTTCCCAAAATGAAACTCTGCCCCCATTAAACATCAATCCCCCATCCCCTGGCACCCACCATTCTATTTTCTGTCTCTGAATTTGTTAACCTAAGAATGTCCAAACGCATAGAGAATTTTTATTAGAATGTATTTGGGGATAACCCTGATGGGTGTGGCTCAGTTCATTGGAGCATCATTCTGTACACCAAAAGGTGGTGGGTTCGATTCTCAGTCACGGTTACATACCCAGGTTCTATCCTGGTCAGGGTGCTTTTGGGAGGCAGCTGGTCTATGTTTGTCTCACATTGATGTCTCTCTCTCCCTTCCTCTCTCTAAAATCAATTTTAAAACATTTATTTGAGGATAAATTATTAGAGGATACACCTGAAAGCAAAATCTCAACAGACTGAGAAAAATGCTTTGGAGAATAACAATTTGCAATGTCTTTTATGCATTTTAGATTAAGGAGGAAGATTATATGAAAGTGTGAGAAGGCAAGATGGTGATCAAATTACAGGATAGTTAAGATCATGTGCTTTCCTATGCTTTAAGGGGATCAATGAACAGGGCTTGCTGAAGGCAAAGATAAGCTATTTAGTAAAGAAGTTATTTGTCAGGTGTAACTACCCACTATGAACTGCCCAGTTAGCAATTTAGTTAGTTAGTTAGTTTTTTGTTAATACTCACCAAGAATATTTTTCCATTGATTTTTTAAAAATACATATTTTTATTGATTTCAGAAAGGAAGGGAGAGGGAGAGAGAGATAGAAACATCAATGATGAGAGAGAATTATTGATCAGCAGCCTCCTGCATACCCCCTACTGGAGATCAAGCTGGCAACCTCTTGATTCCTGGGTCAACGCTTAACTGCTGAGCCACACCCAGCTGGGCTCAATTGATTTTTTAAAATATATTTTTATTGATTTCAGAGAGGAAGGTAGAGGGAGATAGAGATAGAAACATCAATGATGAGAGAGAATCATTGATCGGCTGCCTCCTGCATGCCCCTTACTGGCGGTCGGATCCGAGCATGTGCCCCTGACTGGAATCGAACCCAGGACCCTCCAGTCCACAGACCAACGCTCTATCCACTGAGCCAAACCAGCCAGGGCTCCATTAATTTTTTTTTTTTTTTTTTAAAGAGAGTGGAAGGGAAGGAGGGAGGAGGGGAGAGAGAGAGAAAAAAAAACATTGATGTGAGAAAGACACATTGATTGCTTGCCTCCCACAGCAAGTGCCCTCACCTGGGCTGGGATTGAACCTGCAACCCAGGTAAGTGCCCTTGACAGAATCAAACTCTGGACCCTTTGGTTAGCGGGCCAACACTCTAACCACTGAGCAACACCAGCCAAGACCCAGTTAGCAACTTATGATCAGACCACCCAGTGAGGTCACTTTCGATAGAATCCCCCCACCCTTTTTTTTTGCCCACAAATTTCACTCCTCTAGGGACCTCATAAAAGTGGAATCCTGCAGTATTTGTCTTTCTGTGTGTGGCTTATTTCACCAAGCATAATGTCCTCAGGGTTTATCCATGTTGTAGCAGGTATCAGGATGGCCTTCCTTTTTAGGCTGAATAGTATTCCATTGTATGGATAGAGCACATTGTGTTTTTCCTTCATCTGTCCATGGACACTGGGGTTGCTTCCACCTTTTGCTACTGTGAATCACGCTGCTATGAATGACATGCAAATACCTGTGTGAATCCCTGCTTTCAATTCTTTTGGGTGGAATTGCTGGATTATATGGTAATTCTGTGTTTAATATTTTTGAGGAACTGTTAATCTAAATAAATTATGCAATAAAAGAATATAGTCCCACAAAAAATTAAACAATTACCATGTGATTCAGGAGGTGGGCATAATTTACCAGCCTCAATTTATAGACAGGGAACAGAAGTCATTGATGGGAAAAATAAATAAATGGGTATTTTTTTAAAAGTGACTCTCTCAGGGTCCCACAGTTAATAAGTAAGCAGGTTTCCACACCAGGGCTATATAGTAACCACTTAGCTAGAAGACTTCTCCAAATGTTTATTGAGTGCTTACTATGTGCCAGGAAGCCCTAACAATTGAGGAAAATGGCCAGATAAAAGACTGGGAAGAAGTATACCAAAATTAAAAATATTATTTTATTTTATTATGGCCCTAGCTGGCTTGGCTCAGTGGATAGAACATTGGTCTGTGGACTGAAGGGTCCAGGGATTGATCCCAGTCAAGGGCAGGTACTTCAGTTGCAGCCTTGATTCCTGGCTCTAGTTGGGGCATGTGCAGGAGGCAACCAATTGATGTGTCTCACATTGAGTTTTCTCTCTGTGTCTCCCCCTCCCACTTTCTAAAAAAGGAAAAATAACCTCAGAGATGATTAACAACAAAATTTTATTATGGCCCAGCCAGTGTCGCCCAGGAGATCATGGTTCGATTCCTGATCAGGGCACATGTCCCAATTTTGGGCTTGATCCCCAGTGGGAGCATGCAGGAGGCAGCTGATTGATGTTTCTCATCAATGTTTCTATTTCTCTATCCCTCTTCCTTCCTCTCTCTGAAATCAATAAAAACATTTAAAAAATAAATTAAGAAAAAGGAATTCTATGAAAAGTAACCTTACAGGGTGGTCTGATCATAATTCCTAACAGGGCAGGTCATGGTGGGTAGTCACATCCTAGGCATATAACTTTTTAGTAAAGGGTTTATTTCTGTGCATCCAGATTAACCTTTGAAATGCCTCTTTTTAAAACCTTTTAAATGTGAACCACCCTTTCAGACCCCTCCTCTAAAGTATAACCATCCTCAAGGGAGCACAATCTTCACTATTCTGTAATCCAGTCTCTACCTTGCTTTCTCACACTTTCATGTGATCTTCCTTGTGTTCCTTCTTTAATTTTGAATGCATAAAAAAAACTGCCAATTGTTATTTTGCAGAGCATTTTATTTGTATTTATTACTATTATTTTATTTTTGCAGAGCATTTTAGATCTTAATCCCTGGCATCAGTTTTGGCTTAAATAAACTCATAAAAATTCTCTGCAAGTTTGAGCTTTTCTTATGTCAAAAGAACCCCTATATTGCCACCACCCAACTTCAGTCAGTATAATTACACCCTATAGCAGCTATCCTGCTACCATGAGAAAAAGGCCAAGAGGATCTCGGAGTCATTGACCCTATCGTCATTTGACCAAACCAATGCCAGCAGCCATCCTCTAGAATTCTTGTTGAAGCTAACAAAAATTGGCTCATCAATGAACATTAAATCTGGTGGGTGAAGGTTTATTGAGTAACAGGATAATTAGTTTCAAAGTATTTTCCCATAACTCACTTATTAACAAGTACAACATAATAAATCATGCTGGAGAAATCATGCTAGCAGACAATTTTGATCAGGTTAGCATAATCAGTGATGGAAGAAATCAACATTTTATGCCTCCTGATAGTTGTATGCACTGAGAACACCATCACTCTATGGTTCCTGTTCCAAATGAAATATTACACAAACATCAGTTGAGGGGCTTTCTAAAAATAACTAGCCTATAATCTTCCAAAGTACCAAGGTCATGAAAGACAAGGAAAGATTGAGGAATTGTTCTAGACTGAAGGAGATTGAATTAGATGACAAAATATAATATGTAATCCTGGGATGGATTCTGGAACTTTAAAGGACTTTATTGAAACTATAAATAATATTTAGGAATTACATGGTAATATCAGATGAATATTAATTTCCTAGTTTTTGAGGTTGTACTGAGATTATGTGGAAGAGTGTATTTAAGAAAAATACACTGAGGCAGGGAGAGCCACAGGCGCTGGGACCGGGACCGCCATCGCCGCTGCCACCATGAGTGATCAGCAGCGGGACTGTGCCTTGGACTTAATGAGGTGCCTGCCTCCACAGCAAATTGAGAAAAACCTCAGTGACCTGATCGACCTGGTTCCCAGTCTATGTGAAGATCTCCTGTCTTCTGTTGACCAGCCACTGAAAATCGCCAGAGACAAAGTGGTGGGAAAGGATTACCTTTTGTGTGACTACAACGGAGACAGGGACTCGTGTAGGTCACCATGGAGTAACAAGTATGACCCTCCCTTGGAAGATGGGGCCATGCCTTCTGCTCGGCTGAGGAAGCTGGAGGTGGAAGCCAACAATGCCTTTGACCAGTATCGAGACCTGTATCTTGAAGGCAGCGTCTCATCTGTCTACCTCTGGGACCTGGATCATGGCTTTGCTGGAGTGATCCTCATAAAGAAGACGAGACGGATCAAAGATCAGAGGCTGCTGGGATTCCATCCACGTGGTGGAAGTGCAGAAGTCCAGTGGCCGCACCGCTCATTACAAGCTGACCTCTACGATGATGCTGTGGCTGCAAACCAACAAATCCAGCTCTGGCACCATGAACCTTGGAGGCCGCCTTACCAGACAGGTGGAGAAAGATGAAACTGAGCGACTCCTCGCCACACATAGCCAATATTGGGCGCCTGGTAGAGGACATGGAAAATAAAATCAGAAGTGCGCAGAATGAGATCTACTTTGGAAAAACAAAGGACATCGTCAATGGGCTGAGGTCTGTGCAGACTTTTGCAGACAAATCAAAACAAGAAGCTCTTAAGAATGACGTGGTGGAGGCTTTGAAGAGAAAGCAGCAATGTTAAACCTCTGCTTCACGCTAACCGGACATGCCATGCACTCGTTAGATTCCTTTCTTAGAAAACTTGTTTTCTGCTCCCTTCCCTGTCCCTTTCCTCCCCGACAGGTCACACAACACCTGTGTCACTGACCTGCACAGCGCTATCACACCCTGAGAATAAAGCCGCTAATACCCTCTCTGTCTCTAAGACCTACTTCTCACCACATTTTGCTATCAGAACTTGATGTTTCCATAGAGACCATGTGTGTTTTGTTTGCCCAGGCTCAACCCCCCCATTTATAGGCATAAAATACACTGTCTGTCTGCCTCCCCTTCCCACCATTTTGTTACATTGATATAAAAAATGTAAAACAAAAAAAATTTTATGAAATAACTGTTGTGTGAAAGAAGAAAAACTGGAAATCTGACTCCACGTGTGTTTGGGAGTTGCTTGGGGTTGGGGTGGGGAGCAGGGGACAGCTCTGGGAGGAAGGAGAAGTGGCCCTCAGCACTGTCCTGCACGCTGGCCCCTGGCCTCGGAGACCACGTTGTGGGGGCGGGCGGCCTCGACTGTCTGCTCTTCTGGCCAGGTGCTTTTCTGTCAATTTTTATGGAATGCAAAAGGAGTTTTTGTTTTATTTTGTTTTTTTGTAAAGCTTAAAAAAAACCTACATCTTATACTTGAGCTTCCATACTTAAAAAAAAAAAGGAAAAAAAGAACAAAAAATAAAAAGAAACTGGGATGCAAAAAAAACACACTGAAGTATTAAGGATTAATGAGATACCATGTGTGTACCTGATACTCTCAAAGAACTCTGAAATGTTAACAATTGGGCAAAAGGTTTATGGGGGCTCTGTGCATTATTTCTGCAGCTTTTATGTTTATTTGACATTATTTAAACATAAAAAATAATTTAACATGAGCCCTGGCAGTTGTCCTGATACACCAAGGTTGCAGGTACGATGCCTGGTCAGGGCACATACAAGCAGCAACCTTTATTGATTACAGAGAGGAAGGGGGAGAGAGAGAGAGAAACATCAATAATGAGAATCATTGATCGGCTGCCTCCTGCACATTCCACACTGAGATCGATCCCACAACCCGGGCCATGTGCCCTGACCAGGAACTGAACCATGACCTCCTGGCTCATAGGTCAATGCTCGACCACTGAGCAACACCAGCTGGACCAAAATTGATGTCTCTCTCTCTGCCCCTTCTCTCCAATTAATAAATAGAAAGATTAAAAAATTTTAACCCAAGTGCATAGATTTAAACATTTGATGTGTTTTGATTTGTAATCATTATCCTTAAAGGAGGCCAAATTGTCCACTTTGCTGCCAGTGGATCTTCTTTTAGTTGGCCCACACTGGCACTACATTAGTAGGTAATGTCTTTGACAACTATTTTGCTTTCTAGTATGTCACGATGTACCAAGTTTATTTTGTACATTTTCTTCACAGACTGAGAATCAGTCATTTCCCCAAGGTTCCCAGGTTCTTTCCATTGGAAATGAAACTTAAAGTCCGCAAGCTTAAGGAGCACTCATTGCAATGAGGTTGGTCTTTGTTTCTGACCTTTTTAGTGTATTTAAGAAAAATACACTGAGGCAGGGAGAGCCACAGACGCTGGGACCGGGACCGCCATCGCCGAACAAAACTAAAGAATGTTTGCTTTTTATTTATTTTTTAATATATTTGTATTTATTTCAGAAAGGAAGGGAGAGGGAGAGAGAGAAACATCAATGATGAAAATCACTGATGAGCTGCCTCCTGTAGCCCCTACTGGGGTTTGAACCCGCAACCCAACCTCCTGGTTCATAGGTCAATGCTCAGTCGCTGAGCCATGCCAGCTGGCCAGTGTTTGCTTTTTATAAAGATAAAATATATCATGATGCCCTGGCCACTGTGGCTTAGTTGGTTAGGTGTCTTTCTGTGAACTGAAAGGTTGCTGATTCAATTTCTAGTCAGGGCATATGCCTGAGTTATGGGCTCAATCACCGATAGGCAGCATGCAGGAAGCAGCCAATCCATCATTTCACTATCACATCAATTTTTCTCTCTCCCTCTCCCTTCCTCTCTCTCTAAAGAACAATAAAAACATTTAAAAAAATATATATCATGATATTCCCAATTCAAATTCAAGACTACAAGGGTTTTATTTATTGAGATCAATCTTATATCTGTACCCCTCTGAAAATCCCAGTTTTTACACCAACATAATTACTCCTTTGTATTATCTCATATTACACATGTAACATGCTTAGAACAACAATTTTAACACCACCACCACCAATATAGTAGTGGCATGTACAAATTGTTGTGTTTTAAAAGTCACTAGGAGTTAATCTTTGTATTATTTTGTCACCAACTGGATACAATGGTTCATTAGTTTTATTTTTGTGTTTAGGGGTATCTCCAAATTTTGTTTTATAATTACATAAAATATTTGCATGGCCCTAGCTGGTTTTGCTCATTGGATAGAGCGTTGGCCTGCGGACAGAAGGGTCCCAGGTTCAGTTCCCGTCAAGGGCACATGCCGGGGTTGCGGGCTCAATCCCCAGTAGGGGGCATTCAGGAGGCAGCCAATCAATGATTCTCTCTCATCGATGTTTCTGTCTCTCCTTCCTCTCTGAAATCAATAAAAATATATTTTAAAAAATAAAAATAAATACATGTTATTTTTTTCATTAAAATATATATGAGCTAGTATAACAGAATTTAACGGAGACAATTGAGCAATCTATATATTAAATAAAGGAGGGGTGGGAGGAGCAAAGGAGTATTGAGGCTTTTTGCATGTGCCTAGGATCCCCCACCCCCTTTTCTTCTAGTTAACTTTCACTCACACCTTGTCAGTTCAATTGCTGCTTCTTCAGGGACATAAGTTTGGATTGTCCAAATTATTCCATGATATGCCCCCCTCACTTGCTAAAATTTATCACCCTGTAAATTAATAATAACATAATTGGTTGTTTTATGTCCTTCTCACTCTAGATTGAGGTCCATAAGAGCAATATTTCTCTTACTCAACATTGTGTCCCCGGCGCCTAGCACAGTGCCTGCTCATAATAGGCTCTCTTTTTAAAAAATATATTTTTAATTGATTTTAGAGAGAAATATCAGGATCCAATCATGACCCCTTAGTACAGAGTACAACGCTCAACCGAGTCACACTGACCAGGGCCTAATAGGCTCTCTAATTGTTTATATTACATCTAGTGAATGAACCTATTGCATGAATGATGTTGGCTTTGGCTCTTCCACGGTCTCCTAACCTCTCTAGGCTTCTGTTTTTCCTCTGTAAAATGTGACCACATGGTGTCTCCCTCCCCTAGGATTGATGGGAAGCTTAAGGCAGTGGCGAACACTCAAATTCTGTAACGGTTTTATTAACAAGCATTGGTGGCCCGCAGGTGGCGCTAGCAGCCCCTCTCGTGCTCCTTGCCGGATTAGGGAGGGGCCAAGACTGGTGGTGGGGCTGGGGCAGGGGGCGGAGCTAGGCCGTGGCAGGGGCGGAGCCAGCAGCTGCAGCGCAGCGGGGCGCCCGGTGCGGCCAGGACGCCCTGTCGCCTTCGGCCCCGCCTCCCAGGGTTGGACGTGCACAGATATTGGCCGGCGCGGTCGAGAGGCGGTCACCATTGGCCCCCGGCTCCGTCTGCTTGGCGGCGGTGTCGGGACGCAGGTGCCGGCCGGAGGAGCGGAGCTAGAGGTGCTGTCGGGACTGGCCGGGCCGGGACCGGGGCCGGGGCGAGAGGAGGGGTCTGCGCGGCCTCCCGGCCCGGCCGCGGATCAGGTGCGCACGGGTGGCCGGGTGGGGCCAGAGGACGCCAGTCCGCGGGCCGGCCCCAGGTTCGAGGCCGGATCCTGGAGCCTGGCCCCTGGCGGAGCGGCCGGGTTCCAACCCTCGGTCTCAACCTTTCCCAGGACGAGGGGATTGTAGTTCCCGTCTCGAGGGCAGCGGGAGGTCTCTGAGCCTCGGTTTCCCTATCTGTGAAACTGATCATCCCAGCGTCAATCCAATAGGGCTGATTCTGGCGGTGGCCTCTGAGAGTTTCAGGCACACAGTAGGCGGTCAGTAAGTGACCAGTGTCCTTCTTCAACCTTCTTCTCAAAGGGGTTCTGCCTGAAAAATAGTAAATAACGGTGAACCAGGCACCCTGTAGAAAGGACATGCTTAGCAGAGTGCCTGGTTGTTAGTGGGCGCTCGAAACAGAATTTGTATGATTGGCTCATTTACTCTTCTAGGGACCGTAATAGATGCAAGTATTAGAAATGTTCCCTGTTATTTAGAAGAGGAAATCGAGGCTCAGAGCGGTCAAGGTTTTGCCCAGTGCTACACAACAAATAAGACCAGGACTGGGCTTTGAACCTGACCTCCAGTGCAGGGCCTGGGAATTACTGAAGGGCACATAGGAGCAGGAGCCTCTCTGTGGTGAATGAAGAGGAATGAATGCATTTCACAGGCTCTACATTTATTTTTTTTAAAGGTGAGCATTTATCGAGCACTTACTGTGTGCCACCCTGTGCCTTGTCTCATCAAACCCTCTCAACAACTCTGTATGTAAACTGATGATGGCAATTATAATAAGAGGTAATATTTATTGACTCTTTTTAACTTTAAAAACATGTATTGATTTGAGAGAGACATTGATTTCTTCTTCCACTTATTTATGCATTCATTTGTTGATTCTTGTATGTACCCTGACCAGGGATCCAACCCGCAATCTTTGCGTAATGGTATGATGCTCTAACTAACTGGGCTGTCCAGCCCAGGGCCTGTTTATTGACTTCTTAATATTTATGGAATTTTGAGCTGGGTGTCATTTTGACTACTATTTTTCAGATGAGTAAACCAAGGCCAGAGACCAAAGCAGCTGGCCTGAGCTCACACTGCGGGGAGTTAGGGCCCTCTGACTTCTTTTCCTTTAGTTTCCTTCTTTCAGTAAAGGAGACTGGAGCAGATATGGAAAGGTTGTGGTTCCATAGTGCCACCGAGACAGGCCTAGCCAAGGGCAAGCTTCACTGGAGGAACTGAGCCTCTGCAGACACAGTCCACCAACTCCAACTTATTTGACAGAGAAGGATGAGGCCCAGAAAAGCAAAGGGACTTGTCCCAGGACACACATCATCAATGACAGAGTCAGGACTTGAAAAAACCCAGGTCTTTTTGAGTCCCAGACCCACTCACTATACTAACTTTTTTTAAAATTAATCCTCACCCGAGGATATTTTTCCCATTGATTTTTTAGAGAGAAGGGGAGAGACAGAGAGAGAGAAATATCCATTGATTGGTTGCCTCCCACACGTGCCCTAACAGAGGCAGGTGATCGAGCCTGCAACAGAGTGTCCTTGACCATAATAGAACCTGTGACCCTTCAGTCCATGGGCTGATGCTCTAACCATTGAGAACCAGCTAGGGCTGGACTAACTTAATTCTGGCACTGTGCCTTCTTAGCTTTGTGACCTTGAGCAAGTAACTGCCCCTCTCTGAGCCTTAGTCACAAATGGGGGTAATTATTGGACTTACTTTGTGGGTCTATTGTGAAGATTCAGTGAAATCTATCTCTAGAGCACTGAACCAAGTTTGCCATAGACACTGGCTTCCTTTCCCATCCCAGCAGCCCCACAGCCGAGTCTAGCCTGCAGCCATTCTATCCTTGTGTCCAGCCTTGAGTTTGGTTTCTTCTGAGCCCAGACCTCTGTGGTTT